GTTTTAAAGAAAAGACCTGTCATGAGGATGACGAAGTCAGCATGTGCAAGGAGATATATGTTTCTACCCGAGAATCAGCAGCGTTTACTGGAAATCAAGAAAAAAGAAGAAAGGAGGACTAATCGTCTAATGGCAGAATTATATACAAGAGTAAGTGAAAAATCATCTGTTTTTGTCTATCTGTCCATCTTTACATTTAACAATACTTGAGATTAACAGTGTTAATTTTATTTTCAGAAACTCCAGGAAAAGGTTCTGAAGGGTACTGCAACAATACGTAGTAGTGTCAGTGTTCTTTCTGGCCTTTAAATTGGGTTCCAACAATTTTTTCTCAAGCCGGAACCCAATTTGATCTAATCTTTCTGTGTCACCGTAAAATATTTGATCAACAATTATTTTTTATGAGATTTCACAAATTTTATGTACATAATTATTTTTATAGGGCTTTGCAACCTGTGTCTTTGCAGATACTATTTGTCTTCCGGTGTTGTTCTGTTTCCTTTTTCTCATAAACAGATACCTTTAAGTATTTTCTAAGCCCTATGAATGTAATATTATATTATGGGCAGTATCTATGAAAAAAAAGGGCCTATTCCTCATGTTGGCAGTTTGGCCGTTGCCAATGTATCATAAGTGTATGTATTAGAGTATTCTTTAATGAATATGAAGCATTGTGTGTTTGTTTATTATTATTGGAAAATATTTTATGTAGATGAGTGTTTTGAAAGTTAGAGTAGTCAAGCTTTATTTTTGTTCTCTTTATTGAAAGAATTGTGTCCAGACTAGTAAATTTGAACTGATTTTGTATTCTCTTGTACTAGTCTGTGCACAATCAATTTTATAGATAAAGTATATTTTTATTGCTCAACTTTACCTGAATGTGTGCAAAGTAATTGTTTTTATTGAAGTGCTATTTCCTTATAAATTCTGTACTGGAGGTGTGTGAGAGACAATTCTCAGAATTGTGTTAATTTGTCTACAGCACCTTTTTCTGCTTGATTATACAATTGAAGTTGCTTCCTCTCGCACATTAATTAGTTTGATTGAAGCGCATTGCTCTCTCTGTTCTAATTTTAGTGGTGGAGAGAGATGACAACAGATGATCTGATCTTTCCAATTACATATTATCTCCCAGAGCTTTTCAGTTCTAAGATGCCTTTCTGTACCTGATGTGTAGTCCATTTTGTTTTTCCTATTTTGAATGTCAGGATCTGTTAGGTTACATATTTTAAGAATTGTGTTTGTGTGAACCGTGTGAACCGATTGTAATAGACGAGATTGACACCATCCGTTGTATTCGCCCTCTTTGCTGAAAGTATCCTAAACCGCTGTCCTATAGGCCGACTTCTTCGGTGACTCCGCAGCTACCCCGCGTGCGCGGACTACTCTTTGAGCGCGGGGTAAAGTCGTCTCTGCGTTACTTCGACTCCAAGCATAAGCGACCGCAGCGCTGCCCTTTGAAAGTAACGTTGGACCAACTAACAACCACCAGCTGGCTGATTCACCCCACTCACTTCTGCAGTTATGCTGTACCGCACGCACGAGTGCAGGCGGTTTGCCTACTCGCTCCCGCCCCCCGTAAGGCGCCGTGGACGGGGGCGATAGGCAAGCCCGCCCGCCACTCGTGCGTGCCGAGCAGTAAAACTTGGAGAAGTGAGCGGGGTTAATCAGCCACCTGGTCCCTGGTACAGCGCTGCGGGCTGCGGGGCGTCGGGGGGTGGGAGGAGGACGCCCCGAGTGTGGATTGCCTATCGCCCAGGCGGCGTGGGAGGACGCCCCTAGTTTGGGTTGCCTATCGCCCAGGCGGTCAGGGAAGGAGCCCGATCGGTTTGCCCTTCTCCAGCCAGGATCTGTTCCCCCCATTCATCCTCACTCTCCCTCCTTCCCGCCGCTACAGAGACTGGACGGGCGACCCCCTCTCTCTAATGTGAGGGTTGGGGCGCGGGGCGCGGCGGCGCGGCACTCCAGATGGACAGGGCATCGCTGCGGTGCTGCGGTCGCCGCGGTCGGTGGTGCGGTCGTGGTCGGGCGGGTCGGAAAGTAAACTGATCGCAGCAGCAGCAGCAGCCCCTCGCACCGTAAATAGAACGCATCCGAGCCCATTCTCGAATGGGGAGAGAGAGAGCGCGCCGCTCTCTGGAGCGCTATGCTGGCTGCTGGAGTGGCGTCGGGGCAGTCCCGTCCTTAAACGAATCACTGCGCTGCACCGATTATTCACCGCGATTGTCAATTCCCCTGTCCAAACACACGGCGCTCGCACAAAGGGCCCCGGCGGCCGGCCCTCTATCTCCCTCGCCAACCCCTTCCCGCCCCTCTCCACCAAGGGGGTGGAAGGGACGGTGGGAGTGGCAGCGGGACCCACGGGGGCGGTCCGCGACGCGGCCCCAGTCAGTGCAGTCT